CCAGCTCCTTGGGGGCTCGACGAAGGATGGCTGCTGCAGCCTTTTTCCCTTTTGCCTTCCTCGGCACTTTTCCGTTTTCTTTGCATATTTGATCTAATTAAAATGAGTTATATGAGACAGGTGGAGAGAGCGTGTTAATCCTTGACCTGCTGACTCCGCCGTGCTCAGTCCTAGCGGCCCAAGTGTCACCTCAAGACCATCTTTCACAGCAGGGACACAACTCTGTTGGTTAAATATCTCTGAAGGCTCCGTAGGATAAGAGATTATTATTCGATTGGGAGCATCTGCTCTCTGGTCTGCTGCAGGTATGTTAATGGAGCGGCCTGCTCTCAACAAGTGGCCCCCGGGTTGGGGGCCAAACAATGGCCAAGAGCTGGGAGCAATCTTATCTAATGAATTTATGTGCGTCCTCGGCATGCAGGACCACAGTGCAAGGTGCCGTGTCGTAGCTGAAGGTACTTAAGCCCATAAAATATGCAAGCCGTGAACATGTGCGAAAAACTACAAGCAGCAAGGCAGGGGAGAGTCCAACAAGCAAACACCGGAAGCGAGGCAGGCAAGAGAATAGGCGAGGGCCGAGGGGCTGTACAATTAGACAGACAGTCGACAGCGGCAAGAAGAAAGGAGTCGCCGCAGATACTCGGGACAGGGACTGGCTGGGAGCCCCACTGATTGAAAAGAAAATTACGACCAAGTGGCCTGACCTGGCTGGGTGCCCGCCAGCTGGTCTCCATTGCTTTGACGGCCACGATGGTGATGAGCGCCATAACTGCCGTGTGGCAGAAGGAAGCGGAACTCGAAGTGGAAGCGTAACGGCGCCGCCTCTGGGCGCCCACCGGCCTTGAGCGCCGGAAGTGGTAAGGGCCCAGAGGCCAAAGTGGCCAGCCACCAGCCCACACCCCATGCATGCCATTTGCATTTTAGAGTACAGCACATAGATGTCGTCCCTGCCCAGACAGAGGCCGAGGCATCCGATGATGGCAACTGTTTTTTCTGCTCCACAAAGCACGCTGATTTTCACGCAACTTGCTGTACAGTGGATGAGCCATGAAAAAAATATTAAAATAGATGAAAACTCAACTGAATGTCCACTGGCCAAGAACGTGGAGGCTGCTGCCATTTTGGGACTGACAGAATTGACTCACTTTGGAGTAGCTCTCACATGTCTGTCCCTTAAGTTGGCAACACTATAAAGAAACTTGGTTTTTCCTCTTTAAGTATCCAATTTAAACCGAATAAGAATCACTTTAAGTCGCAAAATAATGACAAAAGCAGGCAGAGGGCTTCCCTGGGTGGCGGTATTCTGCCCATTGTAGTACGGCTGCAGGGAGATGGCATAAGCGCACGTTGAGGATATTAAGCATGTCCTTAAGCATAAAATGTCAATAAGTGCACCCAATCGATGCTAAGCAGTTTACATTGCGACAAGCCACTGAGTGCCGTGCCATGCCACGACGTTGCTGCCTCTTGCATGCTTCGACTCCTTGAGGGAATCGCGCGAACAATGCTAAGGACACGGAAAAGCACAATCAGACACACACACACACAGCCATATCTTTGTGCATGCATCTCATATTTCCCGATATATGCACTTGGATAAGCAAATTTCTGCTTGCATTATTGGGAGTCTCTCGATGTCTCTGGCTTCGGGCTGCTGGCTGCTGGCTGCTGGTCACAAAACGCTCTCCTCTTTGGCAGAGGATACAATCGTGCAGCAGCTGCAGTAGATATGCTTTGTGTACGAGTTGGATGCTTATTTGAAGCTGCCAATACGGACAAGAGCACAAAAAATGAAACATTTAAGTAAGTTTAACCCTAACCAAACTGCTTGTAACTAGTACTGTACCTGGAGTCGAGCCGAACATCTGCTTGAAGGCTGTCTGAAGACTTTCCCAAATTCTGCAATTATTTCTCATTAAATTATCTTATCTATACATGAAGTTCACAGCTCATCCGTTTGCAGTGTCGGCAGTATCTTATGCTTGGTGCAATCGATATACTATAATTAATTGTTTCACCATCAATTGTTCGTTCGCTCCTCCAAGGCCATGTGCCCTCCTCCAGGAGAAGCAGCAAAAAGAGCTTGGGGTTTTTGTGTGGGGCAGAGCAAGTGTCGGAGACAAGATTTATGCTCAGCACATTTTTACAATTTTCCATTCGAAACAAAAAGACGCGTGGCACCTCCCCTCTGTCTCTGGGTTTGTGCTGCCAGAATATCATATTCTGGAGCTCCATTTAGCTTGTGGCCAATGGAACCAATCAGCGTAAAGGTGAGAGTCGTTCTCGGATTGTTTTTACATTTTCGGTTACATCTCCCTGCCGTTCATCAGGGAGAGACGTCTGCTGTTGGCACACTTGAACAGGCTTGAAGCCTGCGGGAGATCGTGTCCTTGGGCGAAACTCAAATTAATCAAAGCATAATTCAAATTCAAATATTCCACGCCCATACCCAGACCAGACCAATGAGCAGCAAAACGTTCCCCGTCCCGGAGACGTCCTGCAGGCATGGAGCACACGGAGCATTGTCCTACTCCTACTCGACCGAAGGGAGCACCACAATGCGTCGAGTCATTGAATTATGATGATTGACTTTTATTACAAGAAATCGCAATTTATTTTACTCAACAACAAGCCGGCAAGCATGAGGGGTACTCAGAGCACAGGCGGGGCGGTCGAAAGTTGCGAAAATTTGAATGAAAAGTTGTGAAGAAATTACGTTATTTATCATTCGTTGAGCCTGCGCAGCAGAGGAGCCCCGCACACCATTTCCGTTCATTTATTTGCGAGACTGTCACCCACACACACACACAAACTAACACACCAAGAGACAGACACTGATGTCCTATAGGTTGTCGCTGTGTGGCTTGATGCACGGTTTAAAAGTTTTCCAGCGGCGGCAGCAGAAATTCCAATTTATTGTTTTGCGGTTGCCAGGCGCCACGCCACGCCACGCCACACCATGCCCCATGCCACGCCCCTCTTTAGTCAATGGGCTTAAAATTAGTTGCGTCTTGCGAATCGATGGGCGTTTGATTTACGGCTGATGCGAGATTGAACCGCTTAATTGCCTTAAAAGTGGGCGTAGCCGGCACCACAGCCCCGAGAGTGGGGAGCAAGAATTAATGGCAGGATAAGGCCCGGCCTGTGACTATCCAATTACGAGTACGAACACACAATGGAGGAGCCGCGGCGACTGGCGGCAGTAAGCTGTTACGGTTTTGCCATCACTTACCTTTAATTAGAGCATTCCCGGCTCCACCCGTCAAGGTTTTCCGTTCACCATTTGTGGTGTTTTGGGGTGGCTAGCAGCTCACTCGGCTTAGAGTTTAGTAATTGCTGAAGAGCAGTTTTTGGCTTACAAAAAGCCTACACAACAGGCAATCACAGACTGAGGGGGAAAGGACTGACTGGCTTCAAGCCGAACACACAAAACTGTTGGTTAAGTCTGAAAAACCAGGCCTGATTAGGCGCGGATAGAAGTTCGTTTAAATTAGAATTTTATATTAATTAAATATGTTAATTTACACTAAATGTTAAGCATTATTATAGCTTCTATGAGTGCATGTTGAAATGCTCTTTAACTCGATGTTGACACACGGCACCAAAGGAGAGAGCAAGGATTGTCAGAAGCAGGACCATGACCACATATTTCGTTGTTTTAGTTGACTTTTTAAAGCGTTTTCTTACTACCATTCCAAGCTGAACCCCATAAGCCCCATGCCCATAAAATATTTTAAATAAATTTCCATATAAATCGCCTGGCTGCTGTTGCTTCCTCATTTCCCATTTAAAAAGATGATTCTTAAGCATTCATTTAACCGCTGGAATAGCAGCAGTGTCCATCCAGTGCGCTGACAGTGACGAACAAAGAGCGAAGAGCGAAGAGCCGTGAATGGAGCAACGTGCCGTGGGGGAGAGCGGGGGCCAAGGCATTCAATGCCGGATCAAGCGCTGTACGCGGCACTCCAACGCAGGGAACAGCCAAAGTCCTTGCATTCATTGCAGTTGAAGCCACAGCCAGAACCATAACCAGAGCCATAGCCATAGCCAGGGCCAGGGCCAGGGCCACTGCCAGTAGTCCCCACTCCTGCTTCTATGATTTTGCTCTCTGCCTCAGGCGTCCGGCGCTGCTTTTGTTTTTCTTGCCTCAACCTCAGAAGGAACTTTCAGTGGACCCCTTTCGGAGTGGCATTCTCTTCAGAGTCCTCATTTCCATCCGCATCTTCCGTGGCACTGCCGAGCTGTTTGTGTGCCTCTGCTGTGGTTCATGTCGTCGTTGTTGACATTTAGTTGACACACAAACACACACACAACAAAACACAACATAGATCCCCGTTTATGTCCACGTCCACGTCCACGTCCTTCTTGCACATCTCTCTAGCTCTCTCCACTTCCGCCAACTGGCTATGGCCATGGCAATGGATCATCGGGCATCTTTGTTTGCACATCGCCACGGAAGTTTACAGCTGCCTTGTCTCCGTCGCATCCGTCGGCTCTGGGCTCTGGGCTCTGGGCTCTCCGATGCTCTGGCTGTTCATCGTCAGCTGGTGCACTTTATTGTTGCTAACTAGAAAAGCCAGGACATCCATCCTGCTTGCCCCTTCCTCTGCTCTCCCCTGGCCATGGTTGCCGCTGGTGTAAACAATTTTTGAAAGGTTATTTCTCTTGCAACAGCCGCGGTCCGCACTTTGTTCCGTTTTGCACTTCATTTGCTTTCCTCCGCCACGGGGCAGTAAATTCTGTTTACTCGTAACGTTGTCGTTGACGGCATCCTTCTAGTACTCCTAGTACTACCACGTTAGATGCATCCTCCGGCGATGGCTATTTGTTATGTCATTTGACTGGGAACGGCAACCGGCAACCGGCAGCATTCATCTACGAGCAGAGGCATGGGACTCCGCCTTCTCAGATATTAAATCGTCCCTGGGCGATGCATCTAGCTTGTGCTTGAAATTGTATCCCTCTCTGCACGAGTGTGCTCCAGCAGATAATCAAAATGTATTTCTAAATTGAATCTTAACCTAAATCTTAAACCTAAATTACTTGCGCCTGCCGCCTGGCGTGGGTCGGAAGGGTTTCCGGCGGGACTTTGAGTCCACGATGAGCACGGACTGGCGCTTAAGAAAGTTCCGCGAGGGCACCTCGGTGTCGTCATCTGTGGTGGCAACTGTGGCAGAACACAAAGCTAAGATTGCCACAAACTACTAAACCAAAACAAAAACAAGCAAAGTTCTTACCCGCTGCGGGTGCCTGCTCCGGTGAGGATGAGGATGTGCCGGCGGCTCGTTGGGCGCGCCCGGCAAAGAGATTGTAATAGCACAGGGGCATCGGCTGGGGCTTTTCGCCTTCGGGGGCCGAGGGGGACTTTGGTGGTTCAGTCGGGTACAGCTCCTCCTCCTCGTCCTGCTCAGCGGGGTCCAGATTGGGCATCTCGAGGGGCGGCACATCCTCCGCCTTGCTCAGCTCCTGGCAGCGTTTGATTTTCACTTGAAGTATCTGTGAGGATCGTAAAATAAATGATTGTATCTGTGGAGCATTGAGCTATCATCTACCTCAATCAGTTCCTCATCCTGGGCGGTGTGGGTGAGAAAGTTTGGCAGTTCGGCGACGCTCACGTGGAGCTTGCGGCTGGGCAGCTCGATGTTGCTCTCGTCCACCTCCTGCACCTTGAAGATCATCTCGCAAATGCGCTCCTTAAGGTACTTCAGCACACCCATGGACTTGTCGGCCGCATCGGTGTCCAGCTTACGGTCCTGCTCCTTGGCGGCAATACTTAGCTTGATCTGTTCAATGATCTCCTGGTTCCTGTGAATAGAAAAAGAACAATTAGTAGGTGCATCCTCTTGTTCTCTGCTCCACCCACACTTCACTCTCCTTGACGTCCGAGAACTTGGAGGCTTCCAGCTCGCTGCTGAGTGCCTCCCGTTCCGCCTCCAGGTTGGCCTTCTCCGCCTCGGCCGCCTTGCGCAGGTAATTCAGGCGGGCGGCAGACTCCTTCTGTGCACTGAACCGCTCGAAGACCTCGAGTGGCGATGTGGCACCAGAGGCCTCCATGAGCTGCTTGAACAACGACTCCATGTCGCTCGTCACACTCTCCAGCTGTGAGGCGGGCTCCTCCTCGCCATTTTCAGCCTTGACCGCAAGTGGATCGCCGGACGTGGAGCCCACGCTGTCCTGATGCACCAGGGTCTTGGTCTCGGCAAACAATTTGCGACCAATCCTCTCCAGCTCCAGCTTGCGCGCCTCCACCTGCTTGCGAAAGTCGAGGGCCTGGCGCTCACGCGTCTTCTGGGAGAGATTCGCCTGCTGCTCCTGCCGCGTCAGCACCACCTTGGCAGCATCCCGCATCTCGATGGCCTCGTTGTGCACCTGCTGGAGGCGCTCGATCTCCGCCTTCTGCTCGCTCAGCGAGGACTCCAGCTCGCGCAGACTGCGCTCAAACCGCTCCGCATCGTTCATCAGGGAGGCCTCTATGGAGCGATACTTCTTGCGGATGTGCTCCGCCTCCATCCACTGCACATTGGTGCGATGTATCTCGTTCTCCAGCTGGCACACGAGCTGTAATTCATCCACTGGTTAGTGCTCAGTTCTTCTGTGGCTCATGGAACGTTCACTCATCACTCACCTTGCGATTGGCATCCTCCTCGAGTGTTTCGGGCGGCTTCTCGCCCAAGTTCTGGTTCTGGGCCTCCTTGTTGGCCAGCAGCTCGCGATACTTCTCCACCAGCTTGCTGAAGTGCTGCTGGCGGGACTTGAAGCGATGCCGCAGGAGGTCCATCTGCTTGCGGTTCTCTGTGATCTTTAGGTCGGTCAGGAAGAGGGCATCGTCAGCGTTTCTGGCCCCCACGGGATACGTGGCCTTGCCCACAATCAGAGTGGGTGTGCAGCTCTGTGCCCGTCTCGGCTCGCTGCTGGACTCCTTGATGACCACGGGACGCTGGAGTGGATTTCGCAGTCGACTGGCCTTCACCGTCAGCTCCTTGAGCTCCTTCTTCAGAGTGCCGATGGTGTCGCAGTTGATGCGATTCTGCTTCTGCCACTCGGCCGCATTGGCCGTCTTCTGACCCTCTGCAAAACGGCAGACTCTTGAGTTTGAGTCGAGAGAGTCTTGCTCCGCACTCACCTGCCAGCAGAATCCTCTTCTTGATCTCATTAATTTGTCTATTAAGCTCGTTCAGCTTGTCGGATTCCATGCCCTCAGCTACTGGCTCTCGAAACTCAATGAATAACACGAGTATTTGTGCTGCCCGCCGCCGGTGGGCTTGTTGGATCGATGCTGAAATTGTTGTAGCAACGCCGAATGCCATTCGGTTGCCAACAGCCACGGGGGATGACAGTCTGGATAATCAGTTTGAAATGCAACAGTCAACAGTCTCTTCCATTAATAACAACAATTTATTCACAGCTTGCCATATCTCAGAAACTGATTACATTTGGATTTGGTGTGTGGATAGCCTCAGCGAAACTCCACTGAAAGACAACTGACAAATTCAAACCAACTAAAAATTCTCGTGGGCAGTGCCAGAGTTGGGAAGAGTACGGGTGTGCCTGCCCTCCTGTGTTTCTGCATAATTTAAATGTATCCAATGGCTGCTTTTGCTGCTCTTCCATTGTCCTCCAGCCAGTCGCATCTGAAGCATCAGTTCGCTGGTCAGCTTATCACAGAGGACAATATGACATGTGTGCCATCCAAACATATTTTTATACAGCACAAGCAGAAGGACAGGCTTTTGCCAAAGTCGGCCACCTGTGGCCTGAACATCGTTTGGATTCGTAATGCACAGTAGAAGTCTCGATGGTTTTCGTGGGAGTAACTTTACCAGGTAAATAGACAGAGTGGCGCATTGGGTTTTGGCTGCGTTTCTGCTCAACGGAGTGTCTTTAACGAAAAGGGAAGATAAAATATATGGAATATTTATTTGAAATGCCAAATGACTACTTACCATGTGAAAACTCCCTCATCAATGTGGAAACTCTGGAGGAAAAGGAGATTTTTCTGTTAAGAGACGCAGCGAATGGCGAGCTGGAGGCTCCCAATCTGGCTCCAAGGAGTCCTCTGCAGATTCTTCCATGGCTAACTTGGCTAACTGGGACTTTTTCCTCTTCTGGGACTCTTTCCTCTTCTGGCACTCTTTCCCCTTCTAGGATTGTTTCCTCTTCTGGTACTGTTTCCTCTTCTGGCACTTTTTCCTCTTTTGTTCGAAACCAGAATGCCTCCTCATCCGGCAGTATGTAAGGATTTTCAATGGCCGCATCGATGATTCCAAGACTACGACCCTGCAGATTGGTCCCAGACTTCGGCAGTGCCTCGTCCATCTCATTTCCATTGCCTATTATTGTTGGGACATCCGTGTCACATGGCAAACCCTGCAGCATGCTCTTGCGATTCTGCGCAAATTCAATCCCAGCAATGGAAACGTTGATGTGCGGCCTGAAGGATTGCGCCGGGGCATAGGCAAAGGAAGTACAGCAATCAGAGAAATTAAAGCTGGAGCAGATGTCCATCTTTATCAACTGCCAATTCAATGATAAAATGTTTTCTGTATCCAAAAACTATGACTACTGATAGATAGATAAGGAGATCTGTTGAGTCGTGAGGGTTAACTCAATGGGAGAGTGTCTGTCATTATTTTTAATCTAGTTTCCCTACAAAAAACTCTCCCAAGTGATGGCCGCCAAAGGCTGATGTGTGCCATCTGTGTGGACAACAAATGGCATGGCGCCCATTTGGCGCTAGTCTCAGGCCACAGGTCTGTGTTTTCTTTTGTCCTGAATACTCAGCAGATTGTCTTCCACACAAGGGGGACATAATGCAGGGGACGTCTAATTACAATCTGCTTTACGTCCAACGGAGCGTATGCGCAATCGTAGACGAGAGGGAATCAAATTACATTGACAACAACTTTGTCCGTTAGCTTTTCAATGGACATTTCCCGTTTCCAAAGAAACGGGAAAGAGCACCTGGGGGCCGTGCCAAGTCCAGACTGTCTCTGTGTGAATACATCTGAATGAATGCTCGTAGCCATACACTCGAATTCGTATTCGTTCTAGATGAATGCAGAGTAGATGGGAGCCCGCAGCTAAACAAATACTCATGAGGACCAGTCAAAGCAAATAGCGGGGGATAATATTTGGTTCTGAAATATGCATAAAATGCGGGAAAGCGAATTCAAAGCGCTGCGAAATAAATAAATAGCGGAGCCAAACAGAATGGAAAGAAAAAAGAGGAACGAGAACGAGAACGAAACAAAAAGGAAGCGAAGGGAAGCGAAACAACTTCCATCCTCAAAGTAAAACAATCAAAATTTGCGCTCCATTAAATTTTGTATTGTTCTCGTTCCAGAAAAGTTCACTCCCCCTCCGACTTTCGGTCTCTGTTTCAGCAATTTTTTCATTTTCCCCTGCATGCGCGTTCCACATTGGCTCTCTGCACACTCTGCCCACTGGTACCTCCGATGCTCCTGCTTTGATTTGATTGCAACTCATCCTCCATCCTCCATCCTCCATCCTGCAGCCTACTCGTATGCGGTTTTTTTACTTGCTCCAGGAAAGCTTCTTTAATCCCTGTAAATATTTTGTTGACTCTGTTCTATTTGCGAAACCGATCAAAAGAGAACGAAAGGAAACGAAAACCCGCTTATGATTTGATTTGATTTATGGCTTTGTTTTCGCCTTTTGCCGGCAAGCCTTTGCCTTGTGTGGAACTGCTTAAATTTCCACCAACTACGATACTTTGTTTTTGTTTTTTTGGTGGCATTTGGTATCCATTTAATTATCCAATTTAATTACTTATTCGCACAGAGTTCATTATTTCTAGCTATATTTACTTACTGCCAAAAACAAAACAAAATTCAGCAGCTGGCATCCGCAATTGTTTGTGTTTAATTCGTTTTTTTATGTTTTTTCCATTATGCAGAAACATTTTAGTAGTTTTTTTGTTTTAATTGTGATTAGAATTCTAATTGGGAGAGTGCAGCCAATGCTAATGCTAATATTTCATGCATATTAAATCACTGAAAACTATAATGATATTGGAAACCCATTTAATCGAGTAAACGCGCCAAAAGGCAACGAGCAATCCGATGCATTTGATATCAAAGGCTTCTGTGGTTGGCCACATACAAACATCTTAATGGAAAGTTATTCATTCATTGGGCTTTAAAGTGCATTTGTGCTTTCCATCTGCCAGTTGGTGCCTTCTTCCGTCTACTAATTGTCAAGGCTAAACATTTCCAATATGAGATTAAAAAGCAATTACAAACATTACGAGCACAAGTCCTAGTTGAGGTGGAAAGCCGTCGGGGAAGGGAAAAACGCAACACGAAATTGGGAATTAATTCATTTATTTTTTGGGCCAGCATCAATTTGTAGCTTTTGGCAACTGCACAGCCACCTTAATCCGCTGCATGTAGCTACATTTAGTATGGAAATGGCATCATCAAAGGACAAACTAAAAGGGGCTTTAGACATTAGTAAAATAACTTATGAGTGCGTAACGAATGAGTGAGGCTGGCCACAAAAGGAAAGCAAGGCATGATGATTTATGAATGCAATATTCAACTTGTAGTAAAGTAACATAAATAGTTGCTGGAAACGGCAAGGACTCCAGAGCTTACCAGGCAAAACGGGATAGATGGGGGGCCAGCCGGCTGGTGCTCGCACCTGGCACTGGCGTGGCAACCTTCAGGCGAGAGCCGGCTGGAAGCGCATTAAAACTAATTACTCATAATCATTTCGGCTACTCCTCGACTACGGCCCCCCCAGCGAGTGACAGACGCAGCTGCCGCACACCCGTTTGAATTAATTAAAATAAAATGGAGACCCGCGAAGCTGCACATATGGCAGGCTCAAGGCAGGCGCTCGTGCTTCTGCCTGATTTCAATAAAAGCGACTCAACCGCAGATGATGGGGAAATTAGTGGAAGAGGAAAGTGTTGGCAGAGGAGCAAATCCAAAGGCGCAAAGTCAAGTGCGCCACGGCGACCAATGAAAAATCTCTGCAAAATTAATTAAATTTTTTGTAATTTAAAGCCGGAACCGGCTTTCCCTGTGTCCGTCTGGCAGTGTTTGTATGTGTTTGTGTGGCTGTGTTTGTGTTTGTGCCCTGCTTTTACCATGATTACGTATGCCGTGACACTGCCGCACCTTCCCCGCACACACACAGTCGTCTCTCCACCTGAGTTCGGTGACCTTTCCTCTTGGCACCTGCTCGTCATGCACGTCACTGCAGACCAGGTCCATGTGCCACGTGGCAGCTGCCTCCCACCCACACTCATACACACGCTGTTTGTTTTGTGTCCAGGGCCTTCTGGCAGCCACCTTCCGACAGATGGCGCTGCATTTGCAGTGCTGCCAAGCGCAACGCAGCGCAAAATTATTCTAATTACGGCGCCCATCCCGCCCACAGTGCCTTTCAAAAGTTATGCAGCCAGAGGCAGTACACGAGAGCGAGCTGGAGGTGCTGTATGCTACTAATTTGGCTTCTTGTAATGGCTTAAACATTCGAGTTTAGCTGGCAGCAGTCAGACATCCTTCTCCACGTTCAAAGAGCTCATTCGAGGGACACAAGTAACAGTGTGCCCACAGAATTGTGCAGGATGATTAATCAATTTCGTACACATTTTACTACCTTTTTATTGCTGTAAACAGAAGTGTTTTTTGTTGGTTTTAATTACGTTTTATAATCAAAAGTTTTCCCATTGGAGATCAAAGGGAAAGTCTTTCACATCATCTCACATTTGTCCCCAATAATCTGTCACTTGGACAACTCTCAAAGGTAGTTCTGACAAAATGAAATATCCGTACGTGCTGGCGGCCAAAATTGATGTCGTAAACTCACAGACCTCACACACAGAGCGGAGAACGCCCCACCCGGACAACAGACTTGTGTGCATGATTTATCTAGAGCCAGACAAACGGAGGCGAGCACTTCCTGGGCGGGCCCGAGCTTGGTCTCGGTCTCTCCGGTTACCCCTCGTGTATCATTTACCCCAGCAATCATGACTGGCAGAAAGTGGGGATCTAGGGAGTGTCGTGCAGCAGCAACGCCAAAGGCAAAGGCAAAGGCAATGGCAATGGCAACGGCTCCTTGTGGCAGTGTGGCAGTGTGGCAGTGTGGCAGCATGTGCTTAATAGTTTAGCGCTTCGTGTGCCACTTAGCTCGGCGCGAATGCCTATCTCGAGAAGGTACTTCTCTCGTTGTCCCTGCTCCTATCCCAGTTCACTTCGTTCCAGCACAGCATGAAGATGATGATGATTATAATGAAGAGCAGGTGGATGTGGATTATGGAATGGTATGCTGATGCTGATGCTGATGATGCGGAGAACCCCTATCCTGGCCAAGGAGCACAACCGTTAGCAGATTCGTCTCTGTTACAAATCCGCGCTTTTGACGTTGTTTTCTGCATGCCTGACGTTCCTCCGCTTCGTTCCGCTGCAACCCAATCCCAATCCCAACCCCAATCTCATCTCGTTTCGCCACGTGGCTGGTGACGCTTCTGCGATTCGGAGGACAGCGAACGTGCTGAAACACGGCACACCATGCCGGCGCACTGTCGCATGATGTATGACATTTTGCGCCTCATAAACAGCTACCTCCTCCGCTCCCCTCCTGATAATCAGGTCTGGCAGCAGCACCAGTCCTGTACCTGTCCACCTGTCCACCTGTCCGCTTTACCATCAGCCACCTGCCAGCTCTCGCTCTCAGTGTCATTTTGTTGCTCTTTTGTTCTTTTTGCATCGTCCATGATGGGCGCATGTTTGGGCAGGTCTGACACATGTGGGGCGAGGGCTGCTGGCGCGTTGTTTGTTTGCTCAAACGAAATTGGCACGACCGCCCCCTCCTGCCATGTTGACTATTTGCTCGTTACGCTGCCCGTTAACGTAACTGACTTACTTTTCCCTCTGGCACGGCACTTTTCAAATGTGCCAGCAGTTGCGTCACATCGAGCACCGTGTTGAGTGCAGAAGTCGAGTCAATTGACCCTCGGCATTTACAGAACTCATTTACGGATTCCATATGGGTCATAGGGTTCTCACTGGAGTTGCATCTATCAGCCAGAATTTTAAATTTGAAGCTGATCATTTGATAGATCACAGATCACACTTTAGCTGGCATAACTTTTGCTATTTATAATTTTCCATCACTTATGACAAAATGCTTTAAATTGTAGTTAATATTCCCTTACAAAGAGGCCACATTTATTGCTAATTATATGCATAATTTATTATTTATATGCAAATTGATTGTTGGCGTACGCAAACAGGAGGCCAGACCACAGGGATTTGAACATGAAACATGCCGAATTTGCTAAAATGTATGTACATAAGCTGTCGCATGGAAAAAAAAAGAATCAGCGCCAAACAGAACCCTTTTTGCGCTAATATTAGTAACTTTATGCGCTCTGCGCTGCTCTGCAATAATTTATGGTATCTTATCTCGTATGGAAACACCATGGAAAATAGTTTATTTGTATTGACTTCGTATCGGACGCTGGCAGATCCAAAGTTCAGAATTTCCCGACCACTAATTAAATAAGTTTGGCTGCCTGGAATAGATTTGAGTCCGCTCATCGTTGT